CTTCGTCTAAAGTCCTCTGGAATCACTTGAAGTTATGAGAATGAACAAATATCTAAAGTGCAACATTACAAAAGACCTTAATTTGGTGTTAAATTAGTAAGGAAACTATCCTATTCTGTTAGTATGCATACAGATCCTAATACTGCACCACCGTCGTCAATGAAAGCTTTGCCATGATTAAGCACATACTCAGTACACGATTGTCAAAAACTTTCAACATTTGTTACTTTAAAACCAAATTCTATCAAACAGCAACTGCTCCTCATGTCATGTTTAATGTTCAAAATGAAGCTGTTCTAAACAAAGAAAGTGATTTTTTTTAAAAACATACAACATACAACTTTTTAAACCACTTCCGACAGGAACAAACAAATTGATTAAAGCATCTGGGATAAGTCTGAATGTCCCTTTCTGCTATAGTTTTTAGAATCCATTAATCTATATTGGTATTGGACCATGCACACTATGAAGTTCTCTCTTCATCCTATGCTTGTGATCTGAGCATGAGTGCACCATATATCAGGCTGACTGCTTGAAAAATATAGTGTGGCTCTAGACTATGTCCTGTTTTTTGACAGTGAAAAGTAAAAAGTATGTTAAAATTGCTGTTCCTGGCAAACTATCTTTTAGATTCTTTTTCTAGATGATCTGTCCTTGAGTCCCCAACTCTGTTCCTCTTTAATTGAGAGGAATATAACTTTCCTAGAAGACTGTCCTGAAGTTGTCATTCTTGCCAAGGATTCCTGGATTTTTTTCACTTTTTCCCAAAATGAAGCCTGAAAGGTAGAGTGAACAATCTTGTGTTGGTTTGGTTTGCAAACAGTTGGTTTAAAGCACAAGCAGCTCTTTGATGATACAGAAGTCATCAGGAACAAGAAGTCTCCTTGATGCTGTCCTAGGTTGCACCTGCCCATTAACACTTCTTAAACAGATACAGAAAGCTAACACCTCCAGCAGAGGGGGAAGGGCTAAAACATGTCTTCTCTGAGCTTAGTGCCCAGCTCCATCTTTGATGTAGACAACTATGCACTTACTTTCTGGATGAGCCAATCAAAAGTATAGCAGGGGAGCAGCAGTTGGAACCATGTAAATTGCAAAGGGAAAAAAAGGCATAAACTTTTTTGCTTCTTTATGAAGTATAAAGATTTTCTTTGTTTAAGAAATTTTTCTGCTTGTCACATTACAAATATCAGGCTTTGTCTAGCCACTCATTGCTCAGTAAATATTGTAAAGACAGCTATATATGTGCGTAGATAAGTTCCAAGTCAAAATTACACTAGGATGGAGTTAAGGTTGAGAGTACATTATAGTAATTTAGGGTAAAATGCATTACAGAAATGTTGTAATTATCCCAAATTATCCCAGGAAATTCAGAGTTAAGGTTAAACATAAAAAGAATCCAAGCTCGTAAAAGTTTGGAAACGTACAGTTAGGACACCCAAATAATCTTAACTCTGCCCTGTAGGGATGTCATAAAGGGGCAAAAATAAAATATCTCACACGTCTTTAAAAATCAGTTTTATCTAGTCTGGGAATACAAACACCAAAAGTGACATGATGACAATCGTATGTTTGTTATATGGAGTTACTACAAAGCAGCTTTTCTAATGTAGACTAGGCCTATATCACTTAACTCTCTATTTCCATCTTTTAAATAGCCATTTGAGGAAAAGAATAACATTTAACATATGTATGAGTATACACCGACACATAGTTTTATTATGTTTCCTGTATTTCTTTTGCCACTAACCAACTCAGTTGAAAGAGAGCTGTATGAGATTTTCACTGAAGCAGGTAACACATTCCATTTAGAATACTTGTGTGGTAGCTTGAAAAAGTTTCCAAGTAAAAAACCAAAATGTTCAAACACATTTAAAGAGCAGTGGCAAATTAATAAAAATAAAAGCATTCTGATGACACCTGGTGGCCATTTTCACAGGAAGCCTAATACTCCATTGCACTTCATCTGTAAAGGAGCATTTCAAACAGTAATATATTGCAATTTTACATATTTATTGAGTAAATACTTTCACTAAAATAAAAGCTGATTAATTTCTTATACAGATCAACATATATATCAAAATATGTAAATACATATTTTATGCAACAATTGTGGCCATCTTATTCTAAATGGTCAAAATATTTTCAACAATGAATCCACTTGTATTTTATTGTTATTTAATATGTTTTAATTCAGCTCTATAAGTTATCTGAACCACAAAATTTGCTTTCATTCTTGATTTCTCAGCCCAACTCAAAAAATGGGAGGAACATGATCGGAGGAAATGGCCACCTTACTTTTTA